GACAGGGCAGAAAAGGGCATCTGTGTAAACGGCAGTGTTTTGCCATTTTTCCTAATTTTGTTTTTTTCAAATGTGGGAGGTAAATAACTCAAGTTTAATTACAAAGCTATCTTTGAAGGTCACATCCAATGGCAAACTAGAGAATTAACAATCTGAAAAGACTGCAAGTCTTCTGAAACCCACTTTTTTTCAGGGAAACAGATTTTTGATGGGTTTATTTCACCTGCTTTCCACTTTCTGCCTCTATGCAGCCTCTCCCTCCCCTCTCCATGTTGTACCTGTCACCCAGGCCCGTCCATTCCTCCTGCTGGATGTCTTTAATCTGCTCACCTTGCAGAATTCATTCTGCTCTTACTCAACTCAGCACAATTTTTGCTTCGAACATTTCAAGAGCTGCCTGACTGGTCTGCCTCCTCTCTGCCTTGCTCCCCATTAAGGACGCTCCCCAGGGGCCAGGGCCTGCCTTTTAAGCTCCCAGATCTGATCTCATGACTTTGATCCACAGCTTAAACCTGTGATGGGTCCCCTGTCCTCCAACTCAAGCCCAAACTCTATAAGTGGCTTAAAAGACCCTGTGGGAAAGGGCCCCTATGTTCCTCTGCACTCCCTATATGCCCAACACCAGCCTCTGGTGCTGTTCCGTCCTCCTGACCCCCTGGAGGGACATATTCACCTGGCTTCCAGATGAGACACCTGAGGACAGCTCTCCTGTGACTCACACAGCACTTGGACACCCCCACCCTGCCTGGCTGCTGGAAGATGGAGGTGGGCTCCCCCACGTCTGTGGACACAACCTTTATTGTGCCTTCCTGGAGAGGCTTGAAAGCTGAAGTACATTTCCCAGACTCATGCCCCGTGGGATTTAAATCCAATCAGATGCACTCACTTGCAACTAGAATGCTGAACAGGATTAGGGGACTGGAGGTGCAGAACTGTCTCTGAGCTAAGGCTACAGCAGCAGCCTCCTGGTTCAGCCTCTGGGTCAGGGCCCTGGGGCCAGTCCTGACAGGAGCCATCCCAGCAAGACTGCTCCTCCAGGCCCTTCCCACCATTCCCTCGGCACCTACTTCCTGTACCAAATCCTCCCTTTCTGCTTCAAACAGCCAGAGTGATTTCTCTGTCTACGACTGACCCCAACAGACTCATTGACTCGTGTTTCTCCAGCACGCAATGGGACATATACAGACAACAGACACAGCCTGGTCCACAGCTGGGCACAGACCAGCATCCGGCAGAAAACTGAGCAGACACAACTGAACACAGAAAATCAGAAAATTAATGGGAATAAGGACAGAAAAGCTTTTCCAGAACCCTTGGTTCTTCCATCAGTCACAGGGATAAGAGGTGATAAAAATCAAAGAAACAACATCGATCTGCACAAGTCCACTCTGGTCCTCAAAAAAGCACCTCTCCAGAAGAGTATCACCTCGTTCTCAGGTGCGCAAGAAAAGCTGACCCGGAGAGGAGAAACTGGAACACCCCGAGAACTGTGTCCTGCCACAGGGGAATTCAGCGGTGGAGCCAGCAGCCTGGGCCCAGCCCCCGCTGGCCACTCTGCAGGTCCCCAGAGCCAGCAATGAGCTTTCAGAGGCATAACACCTGTCTCCCAGTCGGGCACTTTGAGAAATTAAATGTGTTCTTATGTGTGAAAGGACTCTAAAGTGGGACAAATGGCCAAACTTCTTAGCATTAGTCACTTTCTAAGAGGCAGAATCTTACTGAGAAATCACTGACATAAACAAATGCTGCTACAGCTGAAGGGAGCAGCCCCCAGCGCAGGTCCAAAGCTCCACAAGAACCCAGGACACAAACCATATCAGCTCTCCTCTCTTTCACTGCCCGACAACCATGAAAACGCCACTAACCTGTCATTCACAACAGAAAAGCCCTCTAAAACATGGTTTTTTCATGCCACACACCCTCAAGTAAGGCCCGACAGAGTCTCCTCATGTCCTGAGTTGCCAGGCAAAGAGAGGAGAAACCAGGATGCTCACTGAAGCCACCTCAATGCAGGTGCAGGTCACACCGGGGAGTGACAAAGGTGAGGCTAAGGCAGGTGAACAGTCGGCCTGTCATCCCTCTACCTTCCCCGTGGCCTCTATTTGTAAGCTTTTCTCTTCTGGACACAAATAAGCTAACATGTCGCCAACATTCCCCCTTCTTTTCTTCCATTGATCAATATTTCTTTTTTAGATCAGTTGCTCCCCTTCAGGAATGACACAGAACTGTATTTCCATTACAAATGAAATGTTAACTCAAGTGATTTTCTTTGCACTACTGCACTGTTAATTTACATATTTTAATAATAAATGAAAAGTCTACATTTCAACATCAGATAAATGGCTGCAAGAAACCAGCCTAGAAAGAATGTCACAAACAAAAAATATAGAAAATGTAGCTACTTCAGACTCCAACTTGTGGCAAACAAAAATGTACACAATAGCAGGGAGCTGGACATTCCCTGGATGGAGTGCTACCAAGTAACTCAGGGTCTTCTGATTCTTCCCCAAGCATTATTAGGCAATTTGTCCCTCACATGCCTCTAGGGCGACTGTGTAGATACCAAGCAGCCAGGAACCAGGAGAGTACCGAAGATCTCAGTACATCTTCAGACCCAAAAAGACTGACCAGCCCTCCAACAAGATAAACGAATGAATTAAACCACTCTGTGCCGGCTGTAGAAGAAATGCCGACCTTCACAAGTGAATCTCTGTTAGCTTTTGCCAAAACACTAAAACCTGAGGGTCTGTTTCTACTTGGGTCCCTTAAAAACATGTTTTATACATACACGCATATAAATCTAAAAAGAAAATAGTGTCTCACTGCTGGTCGTGTAAAGATTATTTATACCCCCGCAAATTTGGTGATTTAAAATGTGACCTCAGGTTTTTGACACTGTTTCAAAGATAGAGTCTAATTCCACACCCTTTAATTTGGGCTGGCCTTAGTGACGCACTTCTAGCTAACGCAGAGGAAATGACTCTGCTGACCACAAAAAAGGTGCCATGGGTTATACCCCAAAAATTCATGTTCACCCAGAGCCTATAAATGAACCTATGAAAAACTTATTCAGAAACAGGGTCTATGCAGTTGTAATTAAGATGAAGTCATGAGGGTGGGTCCTACATCCACATGACTGATGAGAAGAGGCAAAGATACAGAGACCTGGAGGAAACACGGCCCTGTGAGAACAGAGGCAGAGATCGGAGCGATACATGTGCAGTCGAGTAATGTGAAAGATTGCTGGCACACACCAGAAGCTGCAAGAGGCAAGGAAATATCCTCCAACAGAGCCTTCGAGGTCCTGCTGACACCTTGATTTTGGACTTCCAAGCCTTCCAGACCATGAAAGAATAAATTCATCTTGCTTTAAGCCACCCAGTGTATGGTAATTTGTTATGGCAGCCCTGAGAAACTCACAGAAAGGTGATAGCCTCCTTCTGGCTCAGACCCTCCCTCCCTCTGTCAGGATGCTCGGCCTGGGAACCCAGCCTCCAGGCTTCAAGGAAGCCAAGCAGCCCTGTGGAAAAGCCACATGTAGGTGCTTCAGCCCCAGCCCCACTGCCAGGCACAAGTGAGGAAACCTTCTGCCCCCAGGCCTTGAGGCGCCCCAGACGGTGACACAGCGTGGAATAGACACAAGTTGCCCCCACGGAGCCCTCCCTGTTTACAGCAGGCATATAAGCAAAATAGATGTTGTCTGTCATGGTTTTAAATCACTGTGTTTGGGGGTGATCTGTTACGTACCAATAGGTAAGTGAAATAGCACATGAATGTGCAATCCTGCTCACCTGAGTCAGAGATAGTTCCTCCTATCCCAGCCCAGCCCCCCAAGCCAATCAGGTATCAAGGTAATCTACTACAGTTCCTTTCAGCAAACGTTTATGAAGAATTCTCTTCTCTCAAATTACACCCTGATTTTCCACCTTTGAAGTGGTTGCCTCAACACCCCCAAAATAACAATACATAATAAGACAAAAGTTTCTGGGTCCTTTTTTATGATATGCAAAAACTAGATGTGTTCAAATATGTTTATCACTTAAAGAGCCCCCTTCCCATTCTACAACTTTCACGGCAAACCTACATTTATAAAGCTTGGCTGTAACAATAAGCTAGGAAAGCTTAGATGGGATCTATTTTTGTTAAAAGGGGATAGGTGCTTCTCAGTGGTTAATTTCTGAGCGGTGGAATTACAGGTGATTTTAATTCTTTTCTTTGAATTTCCAAAACTGTCTACAACATTTTGATAATTAAGAAAGATGACTTTTTTGGAAGTTATTTAAGGATGACTTATTCACAATCATTTCTGTTTCAAAACAAAGCTGTATACCCCATCTCATATGCAACTCATGAAATGACGGACTATACAAGGGCTTCCACCGAGTTGTATCAATACACATGAACTCACATAACTGCACTTCTGTAGTCAAAGGGTCATACACATACCTAATTCCGCAACACATAAGGAGGCAAAAAAGGAAAGTGGAACAACGGTCTAACCCTCAAGAATCAGCTGAAGTCCCACTGGAAGTATCTACCATCCACTGATGAAAATTGTTTTTAACTTAAAAGCCAGCATTCTGAGTCCCCTCTCTGTTACTACTTATTTAGAGGCCTGCAACCCTTCCAACCCAAGAGCTATACCGAGGGCACAAACGTCACTCTTGAGACACAAACATCCAGCCCAGGCCAGGCCTGGAGTAGGGACTTAACTCGTTTGTAGACACTAAGAAGAAAAAGCCAACAGTGGGATAAATCTGATGCTAAGAGAGTTCTTTCCATTTCTCCCATTTCTCAACATTGCAAAGGGTTTTACAAGAAGCCCACCCACCCAAGGACTAATGGGCAGATGGGGGGAGATCCCCAAAGCCTCGTCGAGGGGCTAATTCCATTTCATTACATCCATATACACACAGCGGCTCACCCTCCCGCCGGGAAGAACTGGACGGCGTATAAACCGGTGCTCAGACCGATCGGGAGGAGCACAGGGCAGGCCTTGCCTTTTCGTCCCGGTGCAACTTGTTGACGCTCTCCATCTGAAAGTTGTGGCTGGACTGGATTTTGTCGAGTTGCTCCCGTTGCTTCTCCAGCTCTCCCTGGAACTCGTTCTTTTTGAGCTCCACCGCGCCTCTCTCGGCGGCCGCCCTGCGGACCCTGCCTTCCAGCTCCATGATCCGCGTCTGCAAGGACACCGCAGCGTGAGGGCCCCCGCCAAGCCGCCCCTGGATACCAGACCCCCTGAGCAACCCGGGCCCCAAAGCCAGCTGCAAGCCTCGCGCACACGGTGTGTGCCCAAGGCCCAATCTTTAAGTCAACCGGGTAGAAGCTACAGCAAGTTTTTCCAGAGAAACAGTCTAGAAGCAACTATCTCCACTGCCTGTCTCCATGGAAACGCCACCACACCCTGCGCGGGATTTTGTGAGGTTTAAATCAGTACATAAAATGCCTCAAGCTTTAACTGGAGTGAACTGCTGCTCAAATATTTAGTTTCTTTTTCCCCCACTAACAGTGCACTTAACCACTCCCTATCTGACGAAATTCCTAAAAACAGACCAAATCCTCCAACTCTGGACACCAAGACACATCTGTGCAGAGAACAGGGCTCCAAGGCACTACACACCCCTCATGGGTAAGCAGGAGCGGAGGCCAAACACTCAGGTGGATGAAGTTCCAGGGCGAGGAGCCCATGCTCTGACATTAGACAGGCTGGGTTGGAATCCCAGCTCTCTGGGCACTTTACCTCTCTATGCCTCAGTCTGCCTACCTGTGAAATGGGGAAAATAAAGTCCCAACCTTGTAGAGCTGTGTACAAAGGACGATGATGATTTATATAATGTACTATTGGAGGAAAATGGGTCTGATGCTTGTTCAAACAGTACAGAAAACTTTATTAGAGACTAGGGGTCATGACTGGGGCAGGAGGGCAGAGAAACTGTGCTCAGCTCTGAATCCAGCAAAGACAGCCAAGGATTTACAGCCAAAGAGCAGACGGAGGGGGTCAGTATGTGGAAAAGTATTAAAGAGACATCCAGAGTAAGGGGATTCTTGCTAAACTGGGATAACAGGATTCTCGCTAAAGGAAGACTGAGGGCTTAAAAAATGAGGGTTGAGGAGCTTGATCGACACGGGGGCACACACAGAGCCTGAACTTGCATTACAACGGGCACACACCACTGAGCCACGTCGCAGGTGGCGGTAAATACAAACCCCTCGGACCCCACCACCCAGCAGCGTTAAATACTCTACGACAGCCACACAAACAAAACAAACAAGCAAAATACCTGGAGATCCACGCTCCGGGAGCTTGCAATCCAGTAGTTGAAGCCCAGGACAATGATACAGGCCACCAGGGCAGCCAGCACAAAGGGCGGTGACTTCATGGTCCGACGCCCGTTTCCCAGTCCCATCATCTCATAGGCCAGGCTGAGAATCTGCAAAATAAATGCAAATGCGTAAGCCTCAATATTTGTATTCCATGCCGGAAGCAGGCCACATCCATCGTCACAACCAAAAGGAGGGCGTCACAACCAAGGCACGTCTGGCGTCTTCTTGAAACATGAAGCTGTGGAGAGAGAACAGGTAAGCAGCACCCACACTGGGCAGTGTGGCTGGCTCCCTGGGACACGCTCATAGACCTCGGCAAGTAACAATTTCTCTTATGCTTGGGTTTCCTCGTAACACGGGGACAGAATTACTAAGGGCACCAGCTAAAGAGTTTCTTGAGCAAAGCAGGAAAGCACCCTGGAGGAGTGTGAAGTCCCACTGTGTAAGTCACAGGACGCACAAGGCCCTTATCTGTACAACTGCAGCACACTAAGCCACACAGCACATCCAAGTAACAGAGACTTTGAGAGCTGCAAAGAGCGCTACGTTCTCAAACACCACGCAAACACAGCTGGTAAGAAAGGGGCCATCAATTTGGTTCATGGGCTTCAACGCAACACCAGGTCTGGCTGGATGCCAGCACCTGGCACCAAGGGCAAGGAAAGTTGACTTTGCCAAAAGGCTTTTGCTGAGCCTGATAAAACAGGACCTTATCAGAGGGAGGGCAACAATAACAGCTTTTATTGAGGGTGGGAAAGACCACCAGGGACTCACCTCTGAGGTCAAGTTCTTGTGAGAACACAGGAGCGCTGGCAGAGCCCACTCTTACCCGATGGCATTTCTAAGTGCGTCACTGAGTGAGTCCTTTCTTAATACAGGCATGCCTTGTTTTATTGCTCTTCGGTTTACTGAAGTTCACAGGTGTTGTGTTTTTAACAAATGGAAGGCAAGGCCTTCCACCAGCAAAAAGATTACGACGTGCTTTCTCGTAAGACGCTTTACTGCGGTGGCCGGGAACTGAACGGGCACTACCTCCGAGGTGCGCCTGTGCCGAGGCCTGGCCCCACTCCTCCACCTCTCATTCTGAACAGGCTTACCGCGGGGCCCAGGTGCTGGTGTTCCCTAATCTCCCCAGGTTATTCCAATGAGCAGCCACGTTTCTCGATGTCATTCTCAATGTTTTTTGATGCATTTACAAGCAAACAAGATCACTCGCACTGTTCTGTACATGTCGTGACTCACTTAGTAATACATCTTGTCGCCCTTTTCCCGATAGCACATTACGGTCTGCTCCATTCCTTTTCAAGGGCTGACCAGGGCACCACTGTGTACCAGGATTTACTTAGTCAATCTCCTCTCGAGGGCCAGCAGGATTTTCTAGGCTTATTTCCAACAATGCTGCGACACACACTCTTCTACATCCTCAACTGTGTTTACAATCTCGTATCCAGGTGTATAGTCCCTTACCCACAATTCTAAAATCCAAAATGCTCTAAAAACCCAAAGGGATTTTTAATCACTCAGCCAGCAACAAAACCTCACCTGAAATCAGATCATAGTCTTACCAGAACTCACCTGAAGATGCTAAAAAATAGCCTTTACCTTTCTCCCTTTGAGTGAATATTCATACATCTTGCTGCAGAAAAATTAGTGTTTGACTGTGGGATGCTGCAGCAGATCCTCCTGGGGCTGTCACATAATATATAATAAATGCATCTTATTATCTCCTGAATTCTGAAAAAATTCTGAATTCCAAACTGGCCTCCAGGAGTTCCTGGGAAGGGAGGGTAAACCAGCGGGGCGCTTACTATGTGAGATGCACTGACCAGGTGCTTCCCATACGGGGCGTCACGGAATCCTCCACCAGTGTGAGGGGGCATCTCACCCCCATATTCCAGCACATAAAATATCACAGCCATATACCTAATTCCCTAACGATATAATTTTAGACGGGATCCTTCAATGACCTTTGGTTATTCCAGCAGCTACAAGTCAGTGGGTGTGTGTACTTTAAGTCTGAAAACAGAATATGAACTCAGTTCTCACTTCAAGGGAAGCGTATAGATGACTGTTTAATATTCTCATTCCCTTAGACAGTCAATAAAAAATTTATTGAGTAGCCACCATGAGTCGGGTGCTGTGCTAGCACCAGGCAGCTCAGGATGGTGTTGAGAGAGCAAATACTAAAACCAGACGGCCAATGTTGGATCCTGGTTCCACCTCGTAGAGCCACAGGGCCCATCTGTGCCTCACTGTCCTCCTCGTAGGGTTATAATCAGCAAATGAGTTAAGATATGAGAAGTGCTTAAAACCACATCTGGCACAGAGTAATTACTCAGTGTTTATTATTATCATTATTAGAGGTGGAAAGACGAATAACAAATTATTCCTAGATCTAGTCTTTTCCTATAAGGAAAAGGTGATAATGTTTTCCTCCCACGATCATTCTACTTAACCGAAACCAACCATCTGCCTTCCTCCTCTGACTCCTGACTCTTCCGTCCGTTGCAGCAGCAGTAGCTGCCATCACCCGGAGCCGACTCGCAGGTGCCGCTGCAGCAGCAGACGTCCAGACCAGGCCATCTTATGAAAAAAGAGGGGTTCGAGGAAGCCAAATGTGAGAACAGTCTCAGAAGCCCGTCACGGTGACCCAGTGCTCTGCTGGCCAGGAAGGTGTGCAGCTGCCCAGAGGGCACGGTTAGGAGAGCCTGGGCTCCCGATGGGCACAGGGCTGCCCAGGTAAGAAGGTGACCGTGAGGAAGGAAGGGCCAACACTCATCCTTCAGGTCTGCGAGGTGCTCCACCACTGACTTCTGGTGACTACTGTAGTAACCACTGTGCTGAATATAAGGGGCAGATACAGGTGAGACATGACAAAGACTGAAGACGACTTCAGGCAGTAATTCAGCGCCAGAGTCTACAGCTGTCAAATACTATAAACACTCTCCTTCCCCCCACCTTAAATGTAATTTATATGCACTGAGGGAGTGATGTAAGTGGGTGGGAGATATACTGCATCAGATATATTACATTTATTGTAATTTAGGCTTCAGATTGTGATTTGTCTCGTATTTGATTACAGGTATCTGAACATACTAAAAAAATGGTTAACCTATATCACCTCTGCACCCCAGGCTTCCTGCAGTGATCGTGTTTCTGCATTAAAAGTCTCTTGGTAAATTGGAAAAGTCATGAAAACACTGCAGATTCTTTCTTACTGGCTTAATTTTTAAAATTTGACCTACTGGTTAAAGCTGTTGTTGGCTTTTAAGACAAGAATTTTTATAAGAGAACACAGACCTCTAATTACTTTTTTTTTTTTAATATATCTTTATTGATTTCAGAGAGAGGACAGGAGAGGGAGAGAGAGAGATAGAAACATCAATGATGAGAGAGTCATTGATCAAGCCAGCAACCCGGGCATGTGCCCTGACCGGGAATCGAACCCCGATCGCCTGGATCCTAGGTCGACGCTCAACCGCTGAGCCACGCCCGGCCAGGCTCTAATTACTTTTTTAAAAAAAAAAAGAAAGAAAAAGAGCCTGGCCAAGCGTGGCTCAGTGGTTGAGCATCAACCTAGGATCCAGGAGATCGGGGTTCAGTTCCTACTCAGGGCACATGCCCGGGTTGCGGGCTTGATCCCCAGCAGGGGGCCTGCAGGAGGCAGCCAATCAATGACTCTCTCATCATTGATGTTTCTATCTCTCTCTCCCTTCCTCTCTCTGAAATCAATAAAGATATATTTTTTAAAAAGAAAGAAAAAGAGTATGAAAATGGGCAACCAGCCAAATGCATCAGCCCCTTCAACCTCCGAGTTAAATACTTTTTCTTTTCACTTCCTTATTTTCACACAGGGGTTTTTAATCATACGGGCAAACATAAAGGATCAGATTAGCTTGTTTGACCCACGTCACCACTGCAGGACAATGCAGCTTCTCCAACAGTGGGGGAGCTGCACCTTTATTCCTTCTCAGGGAATGGCCTCACCTGGATATCAGAGGGCCCGAGAGCCGGCCAGAGCAGAGCAGGAAGTTCAGAAATCCCTGCACGAGCAAAAAGACCTGGGAATACACCGCTCAGCACTGGGGGCCGTGAAGAATTTAGTCACTGACATTTCTTTGAGGGTTTAAAAATATTCTACTCTGTCCCAAGAATGTCTCCAAGTCAGGTCAGCAAACCAAGGCCCATGGGCAGGACATAGTTGGCCTGCTCTGGAATCCAGTTTTACTGAACACAGCCATGCCCATTCCTTTAAGTATTGCTCATAGCTGCTTTCTGGCTGCAAGGCAGGGTTGAACAGTTGAAACAGAGATCTCATAGGGTTATTGTGAGGATTAAACCAGTTAAAATATTTATCTGGACTTTTAGAGAAAGTTTGCAACTCCTGCTCCAGACCATTAGGGTTAAATAACCAAGTCCATTGTGTTCTTACAATCGCTTTCAAAACTTACCAGGAAGTACAAAGACTCTCCTCTCACTTCCCCAATCCACAATTACATTATAAACATCATGTTTTTCCCAATTCTGGAAGCTGATAGTTTATAAAGAAAAGACTTTAACAGCATGGTGACTATAGTTAATAATACTGTAATGCATGTGTGAAAGTTGCTAAGAGAGATCTTAAATTTCTCATCACAAGAAAGAATTTTATAACTATGTATGGTGATAATGTTTTAACTGGATTTACTGTGATCATTTCACAATATATACGACTATCGAATCATTACACCAGAAACTGTTGGTGTCAATTATATGTCAATTAAAAATTTTTTTCACTTAAAAATTAATGTGCATATTTAATGTTATGTAGTGGAAATACCAAAAAGAGAGATGGATGAGTGAAAATGAATGAGAGGAACAGGAAGTTCCATCCTGTTTTTTCCAGCACTTGGATTTCTAAAGAAAGGCCGCCTCCCACACGCACACCTACTACATTTCGGCAGGAGCTCCCAATTTTTCCTCTAGCTCAGGAGTCTGCAAGCTGCAGCCCTAGGACTGAATGCTGACAGCCACCTGTTTCTGTACACAGCCCATAAACTTAGTTTTTAAACGGCTGAAAAATCAAAATAATAATACTTCATGACTTTTGTGTACGTGAAAAGTACACAAAATTAAAATTACAGTGTCCACAAATAAAGTTTTACTGTAACACAACCACGCCCATTC